AGCAAAGTTCCACAGCCATCACCAAAAAAACGTTTTTCCGTGCACAAAAAGATCTCCGCGGGCCGGACGAAATGAAATCGCGGGCCGCATCTGGCCCGCGGGCCGTTGTTTAGAGACCCCTGCTCTACACGTTTCACCATACCATCCCACTAACTACGAATAAACAATGGGGGGGGGGACGACTGAACACAGCCCAAATTTTGTTGTTTAATTCAATCTGCTGTTCATATATTTCCGGATCAAAATAAATCTCTTGGCAAACTTGCCTTGAGATTTTATTTTTTTAATAATAGCTTAAATAAAAAGTAAATAAACCTCTGAAAACGCACACATTAATTTCGTTATTATGATGTTATCATTTAGTTTCACAATCATTCTACTTTTTATAGACATCCCTCTCTGCATAAATTATACACCCCAATTTGCAATTAAATAGTTAAATTAGAGTACATTTTTTAACTGTGTCCGACCCATCCACCCCCCGAAAAATTTAGTCCGCCCCCCCCCCCCCCCCCGCGGAGAAAAAATTCTGGACGAAATACTGTTAATCATACAATCGACGAGATGTAAAGCAATGTATGACGAGGTCTAACGAGGTCTGACGAGGTCGACTCCGACGACCCCCCTTGAAATTTTGTGAGGTGGTAGGAGAACGCCTTGGGGTGTCATAAAAACTCGGCATATCTGGGAAAACTTCGTAAAGGGATCAAAACTGACCAGTTGTATTTTCCTATATAATCTTTGTATTTTATGGGGAAAACAATTTCTACACAAATTTTAGGGTACTTACTCTTTGTATAACTGGCTAATTTTTTGCACACACCTCTATAGATGCCTGGGCCGTTTGGAAAAACTGTTGGTCAGCATCAAAGCCCTTGAAGAGGGCTAAAAATGACTGCGATTGAAATTCTCATTATACGAGATTTGGTCATTTGGTCTATTAACAGAGGCGGTAACTTTTTAATGTAACAATTTTTTAATATTTTGTATACTCTTTTTAAGAAAAAACATAAATCATTATGTATAGCATTGTTTTAAATAGATATTTTGTTATAAATTAAGTTTTGTATTGTATTGAAATTGTAAAATTAATTTCCAAAGTAATTTAATATTATATTTGATTAATAATTTTTTATGAAAGCCCTTTCAGTTCTAATAACCTTGCGAGTAATAAGTTTGCGAATATTCCATCAATATATGGGTACAATATAAGTACCCCACTGTATAAATTTAGGCCCTAAGCATTTAACATAAAAGCCAATCACCTATTAATTAATCATTCAATTTCTCAACGTTTTTGAAAACCTAAGCGAAGCTAGGCAGTATGCCTAGTGGCTCTATAGTTTGATAATTGAAGAATCGTGCCTTGAATTTTAATGAGAAAGCCATGGTCAACACAAGGCATTGGCAACAAGTTGAGAATAGCCATTGGTCGCCCATGTATCACCCTCCTCCGCTCTCCCTATTCTCACCATAACTCTGGGGCCAGGCACAAGGGAGGCGCGATACAGCTGAAGTTTGAATCCATTTAGTGTAGAAATTAGTGTGTGAGAATAAGTAGAATGCAACGTTATGGCATCGTTTGAAACTTTTAATCCCTTGGTAAAATTAATGAACAGATCAAACTGCACACCTGTAGTATTGGGGCATCGTGTAATGCTTTAATTACCCAGGTACAATTAATGAACAGATCAAACTTTAATTACCCAGGTAAAATTAAAGAACAGATCCAGAGTTTCTTCCAGGCATCTCTTCGGATGGGGGGGGGGGGGGCTTAGACCCCCCCTCCCGAAGAAAGTCTACCACCCCCCCCCCCCCGATCGAGATGGAATTTATATAGTAAACATACACTTTTACTAGTGTCCGCCCCCCCAAAAAAATGTTGACCGACACCCCTCTCCTCGAAATTAACAAGTGCCCCCCCCCCCCGGAGAAAAATGTCTGGAAGAAACACTGAACAGATCAAACTTTAATTACCCAGGTAATATTAATGAACATATTAAATTGCATACCTGTAACATTACGGCATCGTGTAAAACTTTAATTACCCAGGTAAATTGAATAAACAGATCAAACTTTAATTACCCAGGTAAATTTAATGAACAGATGAAACTTTAATTACCCAGGTAAAATTAACGACAAATCAAATTCCACACCTGTAACACTATCACAGCGTAGCGAGCTTTCAGTTCTTCTGGCCTGGTTGTTTAAAAACTCGGCGAAACAGCAAAATTTGCCATGGTCTGAGCGTCGTGTAAAAGGTACGAACAGCAACAGTCTGAAATGTTGCCGGGAGAGCGTTTTATTCTGGGAATAGATCATGGTTCCATAACTATACGATCGCCAAAGTGACCGGAGAGTGTAGCCCTGGATGATGATAAAATACATTTTACAAAACGTAAAGAAGAGGTCTTGAAAACGTGGATTTGCACAATTTAATAATTTAGATATCCAAAATAGGTTGAAATTTGTTAACGGTGGGTGATATAAAAATAACAATTTTCGTCATGTTTTCGGGATGGGAATGTGACCTGGAACAGTGGAAGATTAAAACATCGTTTGGTTTCTGAACACGAACTTTGTATTCATGTGTCTTCCAGCTTTTTTTTTTCTTAGGGGCACTTGATAATTTCGAGGGTGGAGAGAGGGTGTGGGTGTGTTGGTGTGTTTGTGTGTGCATGTAGGCCTACATTTGCAAAAAAATATATAAAGTGATTTAAAACTACATTTGTTCACATCATAGTTGGTACCAAGTACGACGGCAATATTAATGTCCAGTTCTCATCAAATGGAAGCGGATTTATGTGTACGACCGACGTTCTTATGCTGGGGTTAATTGTATTCATAATGAATTTCTGGTCTCATTACCCTCTTCTACCTACATCATCCGCTAAATAAATTTTCCGTGGGGATAGGGGGAGGCGGACGCTGGTATATATATTTTACATATAAATTCCATTTTGTTCGGAGGTGCGGTAGACTTTCTTCGCCCCCCCCCCCCCTCCCCACGAAGAGATGCCTGGAAGAAACTCTGTATAGAATGCTCAGTGCTTTTTCTATAGCTTGGTCTGTGCGCACGTCAATTCTAAAGCCTTATAAGCTTAAAATCAGGGTTTTATCAGGTATATTTTAGGAGTCCCCCCCCCCACCCCTTCACCCTGACCATTCACACTGGACCACAAAGGACGAAATAGAGAACCAAATAATTAATTTAAAATCACATCTTTTAATGATTGTCCGCCAACTCCATGATAGTTTACCCCCCCCCCCCTTTTTTTCCGAAACTTTAAATACCCCACGCTTTAGAAAAAAAAATGCATGAAAAGAAAATTGCTTTAAAAGACCCTCACCATTCACACCGCACCACAAAGGAAGAAATAGAGAACCATATAATTAATTTAAAATCACATCTTTTAATGATTGTCTGCCAACTCCATGATAGTTTACCTCCGCCCCCCTTTTCCGAAACTTTAAATACCCACCCTATAGAAAAAAAATACATGAAAAAAAAATTGCTTAAAAGCCTCACAAGATGAATGTAGTGTCCTGAATCTAGGGAAAACCCATGATACGTCACAGGCTCATTTACGTGGTGCCAGTTTAGCTGGAGCTTCTTCATGCCGACAATATTCTTTGGGACGCCAGCCAGGTCGGCATCACAGTCTACGGTGTACGATTCTTCTGCTTTAACCACTCTTGGCGTGATTGTTCTCATTCGGGCTGTAGTGAGAGACCCGCAAGAGAATAGGACTCTTGCAAATATGAGACATGTTTTTTTTTAAATGTATTAACTTTGTATTGTATCAACCTTTAAAACAAAGATTTTTAGCCTGTTTAGATATATGACTATATAACTCACTAAATTCATATCTGCATTCATCGAACACTTCTAAATAGGCAGATCGTTTTTTTTTCAAATCAAAAACATAGTCAGGGTTAAATATTTTACTGGAGCATGAAATGAACAATGCATCAACATTTCAACATTAATGTATTCAGAGAACAAAAAAAATTAATATTGAAAAACTACATTAAAAATAGATGTACCATACACTTTATAAAGATACTTACCAAATTCAGCAATAGGGCATATACAAAATACTACTAAAGGAAGAGTAAATAAAAACATGCGTAAGCCTTTTGTTATTTTTTGTTTTATTTAGATACATGTATCGTGACTTCCGTTTTTATAGTGTTTTTAATTTATTTTTTTTGGAGAGTTGTAAATTGACTTCCGTTTGTAGAGTAATTTAATTTTTTTATGTAGATACTTTTTCAGTGACTTCCGTTTGTTTGAGGTATAGGCAACGCGTGAATACAATGAGGAACATGGCGCGCATATCAGAGAAGACATCAGATGTTTAGTAATAAAGTTGAGAAAAAAAAAATTGTGTTTGATAACAAAAAAATAAATAAATATAACCATGAACTGCTATTTAAAAAACTAAACAGAAAAAAGTTGGTCTCTTCTAAAGCTTTATTAAAAGAAGTGAAGTTTACTTAATTGCATTAAAGCTTGTTATTTGCACACACACAATTTAAATTGATAACAAAATGCTATAATCTTTTTAAAGCTTGAACATATAGGCCTAAATAATTAACCAGATAAAATAATTAATCAATTGCAAAAAATAATTAATTCAACTTTTCTTATCAATTCAACCCAATTTTATTTTGAATCAGTTTGTTAAGTATAATTAAAAAAAAAACAACAATGACACAGCAAATGTTTAAAATAATATTCTTTATTTGTATGCCAGAAATACTTGTGATGTGTTTCTTGTTATGTTAAATTCTATTCAGGTAAATGTATACATACAGGTGATTGCCTAGTAATATTTTAACATAGAAAGAACAATGCCCAGTTTTTCTTCCAGAATTTTTTCTGGGAATGGGGGGGGGGGGGGGGGGAGCGGCGGACACTGTTAAAAGTATCTATTTTCTATTGAAATTCAATTTCTTTCGGGGGAGCCCCCCTACCCCCCCCCCCCTGGCTTTGAAGAAACACTGCCATTTTCCAGCGTGAATATTGGAGTCTAAGGCGTTAATCAGATGGTGCAGGAACGTCGTACACATGACGTTGTGGCATGCGCGTTAACATAGGCGGGATAACCGGGGGCGTGTCCTGGCCGTCTGTGACGTCATAACACTCATCGAACGTGTAGTAGCCATCCCGCTGACGTATGACTGGCATGTGACGTTCCCCGTCCGGCATGTCGTACGTGTCAATCAGGGTGTAACGGTCGTGGTCGGCTGAACTTGTGGTGAACTGGCCGGGCGCCGCGTCAGGCAGTGCTAGGCTTTGGGGGTAAACAAAAAAAGGGAAATAACCAGTGGGTATTGTGTTGAGTCCCTCCTTATATATATATATATATATATATATATATATATATATATATATATATATATATATATATATATATATATATATATATATATATATATATATATATATATATAACACGACTAATTTGTCACCGATCAGTTGAATCAAAGAAACGAATTTGTTTTTTTTTTAACTTACCGTTTAGTCTTTATACGTAAAACTGAAAAAAAAATGTAACAAAAATTAGAAACAAATTGTTTTTTAATACAACGAAAGTATTATGTTTCAATACAATGTCAACGAATGTTTTGAATGTATATATATATATATATATATATATATATATATATATATATATATATATATATATATATATATATATATAATTTTATCTTACAAATGCGATGCTTTTTCCTTAGACTTTACTGGGGTCACTTTACATTGCCTAACTTATACATTGTAATTGAAGTTAAAATTCAATGGACACAGAACTGACCCTCATATTCCTATTGACATCCAGTTGTTAATGTCGAGTTAAATGACTGAAACACTGATAGACACCATGTAGGCCCTACTGTTACACACCTCTTACAGTTGACACATTCCTACCCGCCTAACCGCTTGAAAAAAGAATCTGCACAATCGTTCACACATATTTTGTACCTGTATTCGATCTTTGGATAACATTACACAAATACACGGCTGAAGTCAACACATATACGCACTATCCCCTAAGTTCTAGAATATTCTCACCTATTCTAATTTAACCAACACTTGTCCCAAAACAACTTAAACAGGTAAACTCTACTCAGAGGCGTAGTGACCCTTCCCGGCGCCCGGGGAAAACTTTCGATTGCACCCCTCCCCTCAAACTTTCGATTTGCACCTCCCCCTCAACCTTTCAATTTATTTTTCCAACCTATTTTGGCGCCCCTTAAGGTCGGCGCCCGGGGACATATATCCCCCGCCCCCCCCCCCTCGCTACGCCTCTGACTCTACTTATTTTTCCTTACAAGGTAACACTGCGATGTTTTGAATCACCCGCACGCACAGAAAATATAAGTCGACCTTGCGTGACGAGAATGATGATGTTATCTTTAGCAACATGTATTACGCGATGGTGTTGAATTTTGTAAATATCAAGACTCACCTCTAAAGATCAGAAATCCGGCAATAACAAGGGCAATAACTACAGCAACACCTCCAGCTACTATCCAGTACATCGTGGAATTGTTTGGGTCATGTAAAGTGATTTCACGTTTCCATGGTGCTGGATTCAAATAATGTTCATGGTTTATGTAATTGATTAATATAAATTAGTCGCTCCATACGTTTGCCAAAGTTTACATGGGTTTATAAATTAGTCGCTTCCTATGTTTGCCAACATTTTCATGAGTTTATAGTTTCATAGTTAGCCAAAGTTTTTATGGGCTTATGTAATTGATTTCTTTAGATTAGTCGCTTCATACGTTTGCAAAAAATGTCATTGGCTTATGTAATAGATTACTTTAAATTAGTCACTTCATAGTTTGCCAACATTTTCATGTTTATTTTTGAATGGATTACTTTAAATTAGTCGCTTCATAGTTTGCCAAAATTTTCATGTTTTTTTTTATGGATTACTTCAAATTAGTCGCTTCATAGTTTGCCAAAATTTTTACGGGTTTATGTAATAGATTACTTTAAATTAGTCGCTTAGTAAGTTTGCCTAGTCAAAGCAATATTTTTACGGGTTTATGTAATAGATTACTTTAAATTAGTCGCTTAGTAAGTTGGCCAAGTCAAAGCAATATGTTTACGTTAAACTTGAGTAAACTCTATGAACAATATTATTTTAATTCCCCACACACAATGTTTATAAAGGAACACAAATAGCCAATTTATTCACACGTAATATAAATTAAGAAGAATTATTCAAACGGAATACAGTATGGTGATAATACTGTTGCTATTCTTTAAGTTATATCAATTATATGCTTTTATAAGCTTATTGATCTCAAATATTCATTTTAAATAAAAAAGAACAGCAATCTTTTCAAAATTTTGTATGTATACAATAAACATAAGTTATGTGATCACAGTAATTAAAATTGTGTTTTTTTTTTTACAAATATTTTAAACATGTATAAAATTAAAATAACTATATCTGCTGGTATTAATCAGAGTTTCTTCCAGTTTTTTACCGCCTCCCCCCCCCCCCCCCCCCCCCGAACCAAATGAAATTTATATAATTTATATAGAAAACATATACTTTTAACAGTGTCCGCCCCCCTCTCCCCCCCGAAGAAAGTTTACCGCCCCCCCCCCGAAAATTTCAAGTGCCCCCCCCCCCAGAGAAAAAAGTCTGGAAGAAACACTGGTATTAATTTAACTTTGAGAACACATCAAATTACAATCATAAAAATAAACGTATCCCTACAATCATGTCTGTAGACTGATTAAACTTTGACCCAAACAATACATTATCATCACAAACCCCAAAACGGCAGCTGGCAAAAATAAGGCAAGGTCAAGCTGGAATCATCAGAGCAGTTCCTTGTCGATTCTATGGATTTGGTTTGTTCATTCCAAACATCACAGACAGTGTTGTTTATGATCCATATTCTGTTCGCGTTATGGTCTGGATATAAACACATTATAATTTATTAGGTTTGTTATTACAGTGGTGGTTTTGATGAATTAAATATTTCATAATTGTGCTTAGCATTTGAAGAGTATCCAGTGTGTATATATTATATACACAGCTTATTCTCAAATAAAGTACTCAATGGTTACGTTGCATTTGAAACCATTATAAACTATACAATGCAACAGGGGTTACCTATAACCAATTACACACCACAATGTGTGTTACCTATACGCCATTACATTACACAACTTGAGATACCTATAAGTCATTACATAATACACCTTGAGTTACCGAAAAACTGTTACACAATATAACTTAAACAATTACACTATACAATACAACATGCCTTACCAATAAGCGATAACACGACACGAGACAACTTGAGTTACCTTTTTAAACCATTACACAATACAATTTGTGTTACCTCTAAGCCATGTCACTATGCAATTCGAGTTACCTATAAGCCAGTACACAATACCATTTGAGTTTCCGATAAACTATTACACAATACAACTTGAGTTTCCTAAAAACCATTACATAACACAGTTTTACAGAGTTACCTATAACCCATGTCACAACACAACCTGAGTTACCTATAACCCATGTCACAACACAACCTGAGTTACCTATAACCATACATGTCACTATACAACACAACTCGAATTACCTATAACCATGCATGTCACTATACAACACAACCTGAGTTACCTATAACCCATGTCACCATACAACCTGAGTTACCTATAACCCATGTCACAACACAACCTGAGTTACCTATAACCCATGTCACAACACAACCTGAGTTACCTATAACCATACATGTCACTATACAACACAACTCGAATTACCTATAACCATACATGTCACTATACAACACAACCTGAGTTACCTATAACCATACATGTCACTATACAACACAACTCGAATTACCTATAACCCATGTCACAACACAACCTGAGTTACCTATAACCATACATGTCACTATACAACACAACCTGAGTTACCTATAACCATACATGTCACTATACAACACAACTCGAATTACCTATAACCCATGTCACAACACAACCTGAGTTACCTATAACCATACATGTCACTATACAACACAACCTGAGTTACCTATAACCCATGCCACCATACAACACAACCTGAATTACCTATAACTTATGTCACCATACAACCTGAGTTACCTATAACCCATGTCACTATACAATACAACCCGAGTTACCTATAACCATGTCACAATACAACCTATGTTACCTATAACCATACATGTCACTATACAACACAACCTGAGTTACCCAAAACCCATGTCACCATACAATACAACTTGAGTTACCTATAACCCATGTCACCATACAACCTGAGTTACCTTTAACCATGTCACTATACAACACATCCTGAATTACCTGACATACATTGAGCAGCACCTGTCGTCGGTGTCTCCCGCATCACGTGACCACCATACGACTCACACACACCTGCAGCAAGGGTCACGTTGTCAGTTGGGTCCTCCAGGTGAACACACCTGGCCTCTAGCTCACACCAGTCCTTAGGGCACTTCTCACCTGGTATATTATAACTGTACCTTTTTTTTTAACTGTAATCTTTTTTTTTTCTTCAGGGAAACACATAGCATTATGCTGTTTTCTAATTAAAATCATGTTTTTTAAAAACCTATATCAGATTTAGCAATGCACAATATTTAAAAAAAAATTATAATTAAATAATAGATGACTTTATTTTTTTTTCAGCAGGAACTTCGTGGCTTATTGGTAGAGCGCTAGGCGGCTCACTCGAAAGGCTCGAGTTCAAGTCCTGGAAGAACGTTACTGAGTCCATACAGCTCACTCACCAATAATGGAAGTAAAGGCGGCTGGGTATAGAGCTGCAGACATTATCTCTTCATATGTCTAAAAGATAGAATATTTAATTTCTAAATTTCTATATAGTCTCGAGTTGAACAGCGTTTCTTCCAGGCATCTCTTCGGGGGGACTCTGTCCCCCCGAAGAAAGTCTACCGCCCTCCCCCGAACGAGATGGATTTTATATAGTAAACATACACTTTTACTAGTGTCCGCCCCCCGAAAAATGTTGACCGCCCCTCCCCCCCCCCCCCCCGAAAATTTCAAGTGCCCCCCCCCCCCTCCCGGAGAAAAAAGTCTGGAAGAAACACTGGAGTTGAAATCCCGTGCTCGCAAATGTAGAATGTCCACTCTTCTCTGATGGGTATCTGCCACATGTTAGTGAAATACAGGTCGCTAGGCATGGTGCTTGCAGAACTACATCATTATTTGCGAATACTACATATACAGCTAAACTCTACTTCATCGCCCCATGATTATCCAGGTGTCCTGTCAAAAACCCTCTGGACAAAAACCCCCTGGACATAAACCCCCCGACATAAACCCCCTGGACAAAAACCCCCCGCGACATGAACCCCCTGGACAAAAAACCCCCGCGACATAAACCCCCTGGACAAATACCCCCCGCGATATAAACCCCCCGGATAATAACCCCCGGACTGAGGTTTATATAAAGAAAAAATAACGATGATGTGAACCAAGAAATTAAAAAAAAATTACATTAAATTAATTTAATTTTTTACGACTAAGAAAATAGTTTCTAACTAAAAAATGCTTTTCGAAATCAAGGAGTGACCTTAGTTGTATTTGATCAAAGATCGGGCACCGACAACACCTTAGATATAGGTCATCCACATGTGGGAGCCGTGCGGATCAAAGCAACACATTCTTAACAATTCAAAAGATGTGAGAGATTCACCGGCGGAAGCTTGGTTCATATCCACCTTGGCATACAGAACCATGGTATAAATATAAAATCAAATTTATTTCTCGACAAATCGTATATTTTCTGGAATGGAGTTTGTTCAATCCAATAAAGGAAATTTAAAGGTGATTTTTGAAGGCTATGTTTATGTCAAGCAAAAAGATCTGGCGAACGGCGTTGTGTCATTTGAGTGTTCCAAAAGACGCAACAAGGCAGAATGCAAAGCAAAAATAAAGATTCATGGTGAACAGCTTGTCGGACGTTGTAATGGACATTCGCATGGACCAGATACATCTCAACTGGAAGTGTGTAAAGTAGTGCAGCAGATGAAACAACTGGCAGAAGAAACGGAAGCAACACCCCAGCAGATCATCACTCAGTCCATTACTACGATTACTGAAGATGCCAAGGCTAAGCTGCCCTCGATTCCACACATACGGCGTAACATCAGGCGTCAACGTCAAACGCTAAAACACCCACTGTCTGATCCAAGGAATGTTGATGATATAATCATTCCTGAACAATATACAATGACACAAGATGGACAACAATTTCTTCTGTTCGATTCCGGTGCCAAATCAAAAGGTAGGATGTTTTTGTTTGGAACCAAGGACAACCTTAGGTTATTGGAGGTTAATCAGCACTGGTTTATGGATGGTACATTCAAAACAGCTCCTGCATTGTTTTCACAACTGTACACAGTCCATGCATTGGTCAATGGACGCACTGTTCCATGTGTTTATGCCTTGCTTCACAATCTGTCTTTTTAAAGTTATAATAAAAATAAAAGTTTTTTCCTAATGTTTGTTTTGTATTTTTATATTAATTTTGTTTCTCGTCATCTTTGGTTTTTCCTTATATAAACCTCAATTGGGGGGTTTTTGTCCAGGGGGTTTATATCGCGGGGGGTTTTTGTCCAGGGGGTTTATATCGCGGGGGGTTTTTGTCCAGGGGGTTTATATCGCGGGGGGTTTTTGTCCAGGGGGTTTATATCGCGGGGGGTTTTTGTCCAGGGGGTTTATGTCGCGGGGGGGTTTTTGTCCAGGGGGGTTTATGTCGGGGGGTTTATGTCCAGGGGGTTTATGTCCAGGGGGTTTTTGACCGGGAGCCGATTATCCAGGTCCTTTATGGTACACTTATTCACATCATGCTAAGTTTATCTAGTACTTTCCATTGAAATTAATGCGTTTGTTTATGATCGAGTGAAGGGTATGAATGGGGGTGAATGTTGTTTGTATCTGTTACCCTATTCCGTTCGTCCCTGTTCAGTTCTTCTTTTGTGAGTTGTAATAGTCCGGTTTGTACCCATTTGTGAAATAGTATTTAAGGTGTGTGAAAACGTGTGTGATGGCCTCAGTTTCGTCCAGATCTCCAAGGTAAGTATAGGTTAGGTCTATACTAGTATTTAGCCACTTTTTTGTAGTTTTACTAGCTTGTGTATTTTGTGTTTAGAATAGACTGTGTTAGGTGTAGGTAGTGTAGATTTTATTAATGTTTTGTTTTTAGTTTTAACGAGCATTTGTTTTCATTTACTATTGTTTTGCAACCCGTTTGTGGTTGTTTAACTTATGTGTTGCTCAACGCATCGGATCACATGTAAGGCGTGTCCGTGAGTTCACAACAGTGTGTTTAGTAAACATAAAATAACTAAAAAAATAACAAAAAAACACCATCAAACAAAAACCAGTAACAAGAGTACTCACCTTCTCCGTGTAAATCGACGCTAAAGGTAAGAACGTCAACGCCGTATTCTCTATCCTCTACAAAATAATGCCCAAAGTCCTCCGGTTTATTGATCTTCATCGCCATGGAAACGTTGTAGTGCATCGTGGATTGTCCAATCATGCTGAAGGTAAACTGGTACTTGGAGTGGGAGGTGACGGTCCTGATTCTCTCGCCGTTGATCCAGAGAGAGAGGCCGGCGTGGGTCTTTACGTCGGCTATAGCGCACAGGGAGATGGTGGCAGTTGCACCAAGTTTGCCGATCCATGTGGCGTTACGTGGGCTGTTGTGGCAGAACTTAATCGGGCCTGGTGTTAGGGTTTTAATTTTTCTTTACAGGTTTTAAGTTTATATGTGGTCTTTATGTCTTTACATATCGCAACATTTTAAAAAAAGCCACAGAAAAAAAAAATACACACACACACATGTCACGTTCTATTTCCTTTACATAAAACACACCATTTGTAAGTATTTTTGTATAATCTTTCATTGGACGGGTGGTATGGCGATCGAATTCTATCCGGAATACTTGAGTTCAAACCTCGGTCCAGTATCGAGACTGTATGACGTCTTTGAGTCCATCCAGCCCTGATTTCTATTGGTATAGCATTAGGGAATGTAAATGAGAAATTGGATAGTAATAACTACACCATCCAAACATATATTGATTTCAATGAAATTGGTGAACTCTATTTCACCTGCCCAATTTTCGACAGGGTACGTTACTATTTAATAGTTCCTCTGTCTCGTAAAAAAGCAGAACAACCGATCATGTAATAAACTAAATGAAGTTAAAGGGAAAGATTATTGGTTTTTTTTTTGGTTTTTTCTTACTGAAATTATTCATGTGTGTATGTAATTTTTTTATCTCTGCCACCTATAAACCTCTATCGTTATGACGTAATAAAATAAAACTATTCAGAAAATTATTTTGTATTGAATTTTTTTTTTAGCGGCAGCTATTACCTGTACAATATTGCTAATAAGCCTATATAGAGATATTTGAAAAATTTATTTCACATATTCAATACATATCATAATACGAATGTGAATCGAGCTCACAGCTTAAATAAAAAGGCAATCATCGTATATAATCAATATCTTAAAGTGATTGTTTCTAATGTATACCTACAGTTTTTAACCATCACATCGATGTAAGACGTATCCATCAGACCAGAGTTGACGTCTAGCTGCTTACATATGTAACCGCTGATTACATCGCACGTCACGTTGTACATAACGTGTGCTAACGTTCTTGACTGGTTGGTCGATGCTACCTGCTGCCCAGCGTCGTCGATGATGACGATGTGTGACGTGGAGGTGATGTTGTCGACGTCACAGTTGAAGATGACGTCAGCGCCTTGTGTGACGTAGACGGGCAGGATGTGTGAGTACACCTCGCCGTTGACTCTGAAGCTTGTGATCTTCGCCTGAGCTGTCGAGTTCAAAGGTTATAGAGGTTAAGAGTTCAACTCAAGTTCAAGGTCGTGTTAAAGTATACAAAAATAAATGATGCTAGAAAAGTTTATTAACGGGTTAATAAAAATACATACAAAATATGTTATTAATTAAACAAGCTAATTAATTAAGACAAAAAAATAAACTGTTCACGTTTAAACGAAAACAGACTGATTTAATATGTTAAAATAATAAAGTAACTTATTATTGGTAAAAAGCAAAATTCAGGATAAAAAGCAAGGTATTTTAATAACTTTGAGATTAGTGGAATGTTTCTAGAATTTTTTGGAAATCCTGATCTACGGTTGCTAATAGTTTGTTAGAGTGGTTCGTGTGCCAAAAAAGAGTTTTAAAAAACATGTAGTTGTTAAAAAAAAGAGATTTGTCGGGTATGACGCTACTTTAGATAACATCACAAGGCACAATTCAGAGTAAACTTAAAAAAAAAGAAGATAAAGGAAAAACATCTTTAATAAATTAATATTATTATGCTTGTAAAATGTTATATTGTTCGCTTTAAGTAATATAATACAAAAGCAACATACGTACCACCGCTGTAAAATGCTTCAACAAGCAAAAATAAAACGGCTATAAAATGAGGTATCATTTTCTTTCGGCTCTTGATGGCGTACATTAAATTATTGCTGTTAATTAACACTTTTTATTTAAAAAAAATGATCACATGGGACAATCAATTTTAGAGTCACAACAGGAATACCAAAGCTAGTTTATGCAGAATCACTTCCAACATTTATAAATTGAAGTGTATTAGTCACATGAAACAGTGTTATAATAAAAAAAATGATTCCGACTTTATACAATAAATATATTAATTGGAACGTAACATAATAATATATTGAAACTATAATTGCTAAACAATATTAGATTACTACACGAAGACTGCATGTTTTAAAGCAATCTAAATACAATTTATATTTTTAAAATTTAAAAAAAAAATTACTTAAATAAACGTTTTCAAAATCATTATCTGTCAAACTTGAAATCGGATTTCAATGAATGGTAACATTAAAATATACACAAAAAAAAATATTGTTAATAGATGTATATTAAAACAATAATCCATGTATTCCTTCGGAAATGAATACAAAGTAACAATCTTGTTTATAATTAATCTACAATCAAAACAAAAATTAGAGCTGATATCCCCACTTAACCGCACGTGAGTACCAGCTCTCCTGACGATTACACTTCCCTGACTGATGAACACAAAATGTTGGCAGTCTACGGGTCGGCGTGTTACCCTCGGTATTCATTGATGTGTTTAGCTTCCTGCATGTTATTCACTTGCCATGAATACATGCTAAATTTTATTACTCTCTCTTTCGTTCTCTCTTTATATATTGTATTTTTTTGTGTTTGCGTTTGTGTTTGTGTTGTGTTTGTGTTTTCGTTTGCGTTTGTGTTTGCGTTTGTGTTTAGTTTTGTTCTTTTCCCAAGATTCACCGTGGCGGAGAACGGGTATGCAGCTAGTACTTCTATATACAATTTACACATAACATTTGGATCTTGAAATACAAAAAAAAATGCCTGTACGTAAAACAATCTCTCAAAAAAGTAGTAGAGAGTAAGACTGCTAACCCGAAGGTCTCGAGTTCGGAACCGGGTACAAGTCAGTAGACCCTCTCTGAGTCCATCCAGCTCTGATGGGTACCTAACTCACGTTGGGGAAAGTAACGTCGGCTTGGCATAGAGCTGACCACACAATCCCTTCATATGCCGAGGTTGCAGAAACAAGTGAACTCTACTTCACTTGACCCATAGATCGTCACGTTTGGAAGGGGAACTTTACTTAACTCAAGTATAAAATTAAAACTACTTTTTTTTTGCACTATCATATGTTACTCAAAAGTTCATTCTGTTTCACCAACTGCTAAGTGGATCTAGGGAATCAAATATACGCCTTACTAATATAACTCGTAATTTACTAATTGGAAAGTAAACACACTGGAAGTAGGCTATATGTAGTTAGTTTAATGGAAACAATTGTATAATGTTAGTAGGATGGAAAATGTTATAATATATGTAAGCTGTGACAGTTATCGGATGAAGTTTTGTAGGCGGCTGGGTGTAGTGCTGACCACACTATCAGTGTTTCTTCCAGACTTTTTTCTCCGGATGGGGGGGCACTTGAAATTTGTCCAGCTCTTATAGGTACCTGACTCACGTTAAAAATAAAGGCGACGAGGTACATTGCTGACCAAACTTTTCCCTAAAACAGGTTAACTCTACTTCACCTGCCCAAGGGATCTCTAGGTTCGAATATGTACTTTGATTTTTACTTATAGTGTAAGGACAACGGTTTGAGCTGATCGTAGCTGTGCGCTATTTACATCAGATTTAAATAACAACAGCTAGCGACCACATATGGGGACACACTGTAGCTACGGGCAATTTAAATCAAAGTCAAACCACAATTGCTAGACTCTACATATGGGGACGCACTGTAGCTACGGGCAATTTAAATCAAAGTCAAACCACAATTGCTAGACTCTACATATGGGGACGCACTGTAGCTACGGGCAATTTAAATCAAAGTCAAACCACAATTGCTAGACTCTACATATGGGGACGCACTGTAGCTACGGGCAATTTAAATCAAAGTCAAACCACAATTGCTAGACTCTACATATGGGGACACACTGTAGCTACGGGCAATTTAAATCAAAGTCAAACCACAATTGCTAGACTCTACATATGGGGACACACTGTAGCTACGGGCAATTTAAATCAAAGTCAAACCACAATTGCTAGACTCTACATATGGGGACACACTGTAGCTACGGGCAATTTAAATCAAAGTCAAACCACAATTGCTAGACTCTACATATGGGGACGCACTGTAGCTACGGGCTATTTAAATCAAAGTCAAACCACAATTGCTAGACTCTACATATGGGGACACACTGTAGCTACGGGCAATTTAAATCAAAGTCAAACCACAATTGCTAGACTCTACATATGGGGACGCACTGTAGCTACGGGCAATTTAAATCAAAGTCAAACCACAATTGCTAGACTCTACATATGGGGACGCACTGTAGCTACGGGCTATTTAAATCAAAGTCAAACCACAATTGCTAGACTCTACATATGGGGACGCACTGTAGCTACGGGCAATTTAAATCAAAGTCAAACCACAATTGCAAGTCTCTACATATGGGGACGCACTGTAGCTACGGGCAATTTAAATCAAAGTCAAACCACAATTGCAAGTCTCTACATATGGGGACGCACTGTAGCTACGGGCAATTTAAATCAAAGTCAAACCACAATTGCTAGACTCTACATATGGGGACGCACTGTAGCTACGGGCAATTTAAATCAAAGTCAAACCACAATTGCTAGACTCTACATATGGGGACGCACTGTAGCTACGGGCAATTTAAATCAAAGTCAAACCACAATTGCAAGTCTCTACATATGGGGACGCACTGTAGCTACGGGCAATTTAAATCAAAGTCAAACCACAATTGCTAGACTCTACATATGGGGACGCACTGTAGCTACGGGCAATTTAAATCAAAGTCAAACCACAATTGCTAGACTCTACATATGGGGACGCACTGTAGCTACGGGCAATTTAAATCAAAGTCAAACCACAATTGCTAGACTCTACATATGGGGACGCACTGTAGCTACGGGCAATTTAAATCAAAGTCAAACCACAATTGCTAGACTCTACATATGGGGACACACTGTAGCTATGGGCTATTTACACATGTAGCTATACGTTATTTACACGCGCACATATGCGCAATTTACACACATATCTATGCTCTATTTACATCAAAGTCAAATCACAACTTCTAGCGACCAAAAATGGGGACACATGTAGCTATATGCTATTTACATCAAAGTCAAATCACAATTGCTAGAATCTGCATATGGGAACACACGTAGCTATGGGCTATTTACACATGTAGCTATACTTTATTTACCCGCGTAGATATGCGCTATTTACATCGACCACGTATGGGGACACATGTAGCTATGAGCTATTTACACACGTAGCCATGGGCTATTTATAAACGTAGCTATGGGCTATTTACACACGTAGCTATGGGCTATTTTCACACGTAGCTATGCGCTATTTAACATGTAGCTAAGAGCTATTTACATCAGAGTCAAATCACAACAGCTAGATTCTACATATGGGGACACACGTAGCTACACGCTATTTACACACGTAGCTATACGCTATTTACATCAGAGTCAAATCACAACGTCTAGATTCTAGATATGGGGACACACGTAGCTATACGCTATTTACACACGTAGCTATACGCTATTTACATCAGAGTCAAATCACAACGCCTAGATTCTAGATATGGGGACACACGTAGCTATACGCTATTTACACACGTAGCTATACGCTATTTACATCAGAGTCAAATCACAACGCCTAGATTCTAGATATGGGGACACACGTAGCTATACGCTATTTACACAGGTAGCTATAGGCTATTCACAGCAGAGTCAAATCACAACGTCTAGCGACTACATATGGGAGACACAAGGCAGGTAACTAACTGTGAAAAATCTCACGGCAGATACCATTGGTATTTATCTTTTTTTTGAGGCGGAGAGTGCTGCAACCAAAAGACTTTGACAAGCGCTGAATCATTTAAACAAGGGTGGGTCTTCTGATAAAACCTGTGCTGTAAAACGATAATAAAATGCAGGATACGGTGTAAAAAAAAAAACCTTGTCTTATCTTTATCGCATGACTTGACTGTTTATCGTGTACTTGTTGTTATCAGACGGAAGATTGCAGCGACAAATTAACTTCAACACATCAAACACGAAGTTAACATGGAGACGGCGTGTTGACTAGAGAGCTAATGATAACCAGGACACATTAAGTTAGTGAAGAAGACTTAGTAAGTTACATGTTTATGTTATGTAATTATTACAATTGTTCTTACACCTTTACTTTAAGAATTGTTTTGATAATTTTAGTTTGCTAGAAAGTACATACTTTACTTAATACTACTAGCATGAATAGATTTTTACTTTTTCAACACAAAAAAATAATTATTGTTCAGTTAAAATCGTTATATGGAAGTTATTTTTTCGCGCATTTCGGAAAACGTTTACAGCGCTAATTCACATAAATCTTACAGGCGATTTGAATTTGATCTTATAAGTAACTTGAATATATTGTATATTATATACATATATAAATAAATAAATTAAAAAAAAATATATATATATATATATATATATATATATATATATATATATATATATATATATATATATATATATATATATATATATATATATATATATGTTTATATATATGCCGACCTCAAACAAAAGTTGGTATTACATATGCCGGCTACAATCAGCGACTGCGAATAATAGTCCCGTTGGCAACATAAAGCCGGTGCTACCAATGCCGGTCACAACAAAAAGCCGGTTCTACCAAAAATGTCAAAACGTAATCCCAAGGGTCTATTAATGTCGTATCGGACCGTAGAACTGGCTGTAGTAAATCACATGTCATTATCGAGGTCACGACGACCTGAAACCCTCAGTGGATGGTATCTAACAAGACACGTCCCAATAAATTATAAGTCTAATACAAACAGTTAGGCCTAGAGGAATAAGTCTAATACAAACAGTTAGGCCTAGAGGAATAAGTCTAATACAAACAGTTAGGCCTAGAGGAATAAGTCTAATACAAACAGTTAGGCCTAGAGGAATAAGTCCAATACAAACAGTTAGGCCTAGAGGAATAAGTCTAATACAAACAGTTAGGCCTAGAGGAATAAGTCTAATACAAACAGTTAGTCCTAGAGGAATAAGTCTAATACAAACAGGCCTAGATGAATTAGTCTAATACAAACAGTTAGGCCTAGATGAATTAGTCTAATACAAACAGTTAGGCCTAGAGGAATAAGTCTAATACAAACAGTTAGGCCTAGAGGAATAAGTCCAATACAAACAGTTAGGCCTAGAGGAATAAGTCTAATACAAACAGTTAGGCCTAGAGGAATAAGTCTAATACAAACAGTTAGGCCTAGAGGAATAAGTCTAATACAAACAGTTAGGCCTAGAGGAATAAGTCCAATACAAACAGTTAGGCCTAGAGGAATAAGTCTAATACAAACAGTTAGGCCTAGAGGAATAAGTCTAATACAAACAGTTAGTCCTAGAGGAATAAGTCTAATACAAACAGGCCTAGATGAATTAGTCTAATACAAACAGTTAGGCCTAGATGAATTAGTCTAATACAAACAGTTAGGCCTAGAGGAATAAGTCTAATACAAACAGTTAGGCCTAGAGGAATAAGTCCAATACAAACAGTTAGGCCTAGAGGAATAAGTCTAATACAAACAGTTAGGCCTAGAGGAATAAGTCTAATACAAACAGGCCTAGATAGCGTTTGCTGTTCTATAGTTTTCACCTTTTATAGGGTAGAAGCCAATACATGCGGACATTTAGAATATTATTTACATAAAAGTCTGATACATTAGGCAGTATAAATAAACTGTAACTAAATGTTTAGATTACGGGATTGAAAATCGGTTGCGTATTACGAAAATTATTTAGTGAACTTATGAACTTAAAAGTCAGAGCTAGTGAATTAGGGAGCTGTCAGTACGCTGGGAATCTGAATTATATTCACAATAAACTAATATAAAAAATTATAATAATAGCCTTTGAAATGACATGAAAATAAGTAAATGAACAAACTTGATTTCTTTAATAAAACCATCAGTCGCTTATAATCCCTTACATCTCTCTCTCTCTCTTTCTCTCTCTCTCTCTTTCTCTGTTTATATATACATATATATATATATATATATATATATATATATATATATATATATATATATAGATATATGCATATATATATATATATATATATATATATATATATATATATATATATTTATATATATATATATATATATATATATATATATATATATATATATATATATATATAAATGCTAGCTATAAAAGAAAGTTATTTGTGTTTAAACACCTCAGCAAACAACGAAATTTAAAAAAAAATAACACAGTTGCAACATTTTTGCAAAATAATTTTCAAAAAATTAAAATCGATTTCAAAGTACCTAATGTTCAACAGCCATTGGAATACTTTTTAGGAGGTGGCAAATGGAGGAGAGGGGGTTAGGGCCATGCACCCCCCCCCCCCCCCCCATGGTTGTTTTAACACGTTCAAACTTTACCGTGGACAGCCTTTCTATAACCGTGCGCGACAACGATTAATTCAAGCATAACATCTTATCACGACCAGAAGAGGAAGTTCTAAAACAGGTTTGATCAGTGAATAAAAACATTCTTAGCTAGATGTCGAATACACACGTCTTATCAAATGTTTTGTTGAAAACGTGATTGTAATAAAACACGGGAAACACGAAAAGTTTGGGTGTAAATGGGCTAGTGTGTATGACTTGCACTGTCGTTAACGTTTGAAAATAGCATTGGGTTGTAATAATTTATGTACCTGACATGTAAGAGGTCTTGGTTCGGTAAAGGTAAGAGATCTAGGTTTGGCTAAAGAGGTCTAGGGTTGGCAAAGGTAAGGTCTAGGGTTGGCAAAATTAAGAAATGTAGGGTTGGCAAAGAAAAAAGGTCTAGCGTTAGCAAAGTAGGTCTAGGGTTGGCAAAAGAGGTCTAGGTTTGGCAAAGGAGGTGTAGGGTTGGCAAAGTTAAGAAGTCTAGGGTTGGAAAATGTTAGAAGTCTAGGGTTGACAAAGGTAAAAAGTCTAGGGTGGGCAAAGGTAAGAAGTTTAGGGTTGGCAAAGGTAAGAGATCTAGGGTTGACGAAAGAAAAGGGTATTGGGTTGGCAAATGGAATAGGCCTAACGTTGGCACAGGAGGTCTAGGGTTGGAAAGGTAAGGTCTAGAGTTGGCAAAGTTAAGGGATCTAGGGTTGGCAAAGGAAAGAGATCTTGGGTTGACTAAGGAAAGAGATCTTGGGTTGACTAAGGAAAGAAGTCTAGCGTTGGCAAATGTAATAATTCTAGTGTTGGCAACATTTAGGGAACTAGGGTAGGCAAATGTAATCATTTTTGGATTAACAAAGTTAAGGGATCTAGTGTTGGTAAAGGAAAGAGGTCTAGGGTTGGCTGGTAAGATGTATAGGGTTGGAAAAGTTAAGAAGTGTAGGTTTGGCGAAAGTAAAAAGTCTAAGGTTGGCAAATAAGGTCTAGGGTTGGCAAAGTAAATAGGTCTAACGTTGGCACAGTAGGTCTCGGGATGGAAAGGTACGGTCTAGGGTTGGCAAAGTTAAGGGATCTAGGGTCGGGAAAAGAAGGAGGTCTAGGGTTGGCTGCTAAGATGTATAGGGTTGGCAAAGGTAAGAAGTCTAGGGTTATGAAAGGTTAAAGGTGTAGGGTTGGCGAAGGCTAGAGGTGTTGGGCTGACAAAGTTAAGAGGTCTAGGGTTGGCAAGGGAGGTCGAGGGATGGCAAAGTTAAGATGTCTATGGTTGGCAAAGGCGAGAGGTCAATGGGTTGGCAGAGGTAAGAGGTATAGCAATGTTAAAGGTTATGTCTAGAGTTGGCATAACATTAAGATTGATTGCATGTGGTTCTGTTCACATCGACTGCGTGGGTGTATTTACTTTATGACATGTAAACAATGTATGTTGTTCAGCGTGGCTGTTATCGCGAGATCTAGCGCGATCTGAAACATTGCTGTGGATTATTGTGTATGGTGTACTGATGTAGGTGACGCATGGGTTTAAAATGTTTCGCTTTTAATAACAGTCACGTTTCACAGTATCGTATTTTTTAAATGTTTCTTTTTTTTGTTAGGTTTCGTTACAGTAGTATTTATTAATTGAGTTTTATTATTTATTTTGTTAAAAACAATATTACGCTAAAGAGTAAAGTTTCCTTTTCAAACCAGACGGTCTATAGGGCAAGTGAAGTAGAGGCATATGAAGAGATAGTGTGGTCAGCACTATGTCCAGCCGCCTTTACTTTCCCTAACGTGAGTTAGGTGCCCATCAGAGTTGTTGGACTGTCTACTGACTTGAACCCGGTTTCGAACTCGAGACTTACGGGTTAGCAGTATACCGCTAGACCACTCCGTCCCATTGGGCTAAAGAGGGTAAAGATATATTTCGAAAAGTTAAACGTATTAAGACACTGGCCCCTGCTCACCCCACTCAGAGAAAAATTATATGGGGCACCTGCTCATCCGGAGACCACAGTCCGGTTTATTCACGAAGTTGGACTTGTTGTCTAAATCCTCCTCCATATTCTCAATTAAGAACGAAGAAGAAAGACATGGGTCTTTAACAAATTCCGGAAAGCTACTTATGCCGTTTGCCTCAAGCCGTTTCCACCAATACAACAAAAGCCCGAATGGACTCTTGCCCGAATACGACAAATGCCCGAATGGACACTTGCCCGAATACGACAAATGCCCGAATGGACACTTTCCCGAATGCGATAAACGCCCAAATGGACACTTGCCCGAATGCGACAAACGCCCGAATGGACACTTGCCCGAATGCGACAAACGCCCGAATGGACACTTGCTTAAATACGACAAGTTCCCGAATGGGGAAAACGGCCCTCGAGCAAATGGCATTTGGTCAAGTTTTTTTCGAGAATATGCTGGACTCATGTGCAATACATTTATTTTACGTTTGATAAGCAATATACTTTTATTGTTGTACTGAAGTAAGCGAAAAATATATATTTTAAACAAAAGCTTAACACTAACGGTACAAAAGATGTACCTTCGGTATAGCACCAGCCGATGAAAAATAAATGAGCAGTAAATACTTTGCAGCGATATGATTAATCAATAAGCGATCGATGTCTAATTAGTTTATACTGACAATTATTTCTGCGAAGCCGAACAAGTACAAGATACATTAATTAAAGGAAATCAATACATTGTTATATGGATAATTATTTCCGAAGAAAAACAAAAATATTCATTTTTTGTAAATGACCAATATGTGTTTGTCAGCTTTGGTCTGTGGTTACAACTGCGCCGCGTGCGGTGTTTAAAACTGAGGTTATTTTAAACTTATCCTAAACCAAGGTTAGTCTTTAGGTGGTACATATACATATAGGGTGAATTATGAAAGTATCATTATCATTTTTACGATTAACAATAGCGTAAGTAACTTTTATTTCTTTTTTTTTACCGATTTAATAAACATATTCACAATTGGTTTGAAAAAAAACTAGCTGGCTAGTATGATAAGAATTTGATGACCTACTTACAAGCCCTATTGTTATCAATGTCGTTTAGGTGTATTAATCTTCTTACAGTTGTAAATAAACATATCTAGAGACGAGTGGTACTTGCAGTGGCGGAACTAGAAAAAAAAGGCTCCCCCGCAAAGAAAAGATTAGGGCCCCCTATATATAAATATATATATATATATATATATATATATATATATATATATATATATATATATATATATATATATATATATATATATATATATATATATATATATATATATATATATTTATATATTTATTTATTTATTTATTTATTTATTTATTTATTTATAAATATATCCTAACTGAGTAATTTAGTCTACTTCATTGCAATAAATAACCATTCTGAGAGATCAAACCAGAAAAAATTTAGTCCAAACTCATCTAGCTGTACGAAACACTCATTTAAATGCTGGTCAAAAATATATAAAGACGTTAGCTTGATTCGTGAATGGTTTCTCGCGTTATGTTTATTTTTTTCATTTTTGGCTTTTATAATATCAATTTTGAAAACATTGATTTTTATATCTATATTATTGTATAGTACGTCTTATTTAAGTAGCAATTCAGAGAATCAATTGCTTTTTAATATACATAGTACAAAACTATTTAAATGAGCTTCGTGGGCATCCCTATTTTAAAGAAGGGCAGTAAGTCATGGAAGTAGTGTGAATGTTTACCTACCTTTCAAACTATAGCTCTTGTAGATTTTAAAATATTTTTCTACGCAACAATCTCTGCTATAGTAGATCTGTTGTTTGTTTTTTACAAAACCACTTTCAAGATGCATGAAAAACATAATTTTTGAAAAAAAAATTCAATGTTTTTTGGTAGGAACTGGGCCCCTAAACGTCCTGGGCCCCCCGCATTGCGGGGTCTGGCGGTATGGTAGTTCCGCCCCTGGGTACTTGATGTGTTAACCACTACATATTTGAATCTGCTAGTCGTTTCAATTCATCTTGTACTATGGTCTACTTAAAATCATACTTAAATAATTATAGTACCTGATTACTTTTTGTAGAAACTTGGACCAAATACTAAACAGCTCTTTTTCTTGATAAAAACATGAACAACTGATATCACTATATTAACTCTCTAATCATCGCAGAAACTTGGACCAAAGTTCTAAATTTTAATAAAACATGTTATACAGATAGAATCATACTAAAAATATGTGTCGGGTAAATCTAGACCACATACAACACAGCTCCTGTTCTTGATACAACATGTCATACAGATAGTTTTCTACATAAATGTGTGGGAGAAAGTTATTCCACATGCGTTAATGTTCCTTTTTTTAATAACACACAACATTTCTCTTACTTTCATGTGATTTTTGTCTCAAATTTGAAATAATATCTTTTTTTTATAAAATTGTTATCTGTAGTACTTTGTAGCTATATTACTTATATCTTTTTCAGCATTAACTAAAACATTTCAATGAGGTTGATACATTATTTGTATGTTACTCCTAAATATAAAATCAGCGTTATTCGTATGTATTGTCATTTGTAGTAGCTTGTAGCTATATTACATATATCTTTTTCAGGATTGACCGAAACATCTGAATGCTGTTAAAAACGCCAAATGGATGCGTTGAAAAAACAATGCGATCCACGCAAATTTTTAAAAGCAATAAAAAACTATCGCGTTTTAGTAATTTTCATTATCATAAGTCTTGCGAGTTATATTTTGCTTACTATGATAATCCAAAGAGATAACACCACAGCTACCAAAAGTGAAGAAGTAGATCTGTTTAATAATGTTACAAGTTGTGGGAGTTCGGAAGATTTGTTAAACGCTTTAGAGTCATTTGACAGTGGGGTAGGCAATTATAGCACGTTGAATGTGTCCTATCGTATTGATGTCATTGTAAAGACGTTAGATACATTGGATAAAAAGAAGAAAAGCATAAATAATGATATTCAAACTGTGGATTCAAATATAAGGACAAGTTGCGAACAATCTGGCATTACGCTTCTAGAAAATCTGGCACAAATGTTGCGAGTTAAAAAAACTAACTGCATGGCAATATTTTCTGGTAACAAAACTGAAGTAGCTCTTGGAATTCAACATGCGATTGCGACAAAACGGAAATTGTTATCTAACAGTTTTTATTTAAATTTAACTGCAAACTGTGATGAATTTAAAACCGCACGTGGCTACGTCACATGCTCAATGACGCAAGAAGAACAGGAATTTCCGATTGCGTATTCGATTCTGGTTTTCAAAGACGTAGAAATGGTTGATAAATTATTCCGTGCTATTTATAGACCACAGAACTATTACTGTATTCACGTAGATGCTAAAGCAGACAAAGATTTTTTCCTCGCCGTATCTGCAATAGCACAATGTTTCGCTAATGTTTTCTTGACGGCTGAACGAGTGGACGTCCAGTGGGGGCAATTCAGTATACTGGAACCGGAAATGATTTGCATGAAACAGCTGTGGAGATATAAAAAATGGAAGTACTTTATCAACCTCACTGGACAAGAGTTTCCATTGAAGACAAACGCTCAGCTGGTGAAAATTTTAAAAGCTTTCAACGGTGCTAATGATTTGGAAGGAACAATTAAAAGGTAATAATGCATTATTTTAGTTTTTTTTTATATTACTACATTATAATCCAAGTTACAGTCTTCTTTGAACTGTGATGCATGAATGCGTTGTGTGTCTGTGTAGTTTGAACGTAAATATAATTATGAAATATGTCACGATGATTTGGTTACTGGTGTGAGGAAGGGAGGGAAGTGGATAAGATAATAAAATATACACTACCCTTGTGTAGAAGTTGTAATAGAAATGTGAAAACAAAGCAGGATTGACAGCATTAAACTGTATGAGCGTATTTTGTATGTCCTGTAGATATTGCTGTAAATTTATTACAGTTAAAACATGCCTTGAATGTGTTGTAGATACTGATGTGTATTTTGTACACTGCTTTAATGTGTTGTACATAATGATGTTTACTGTGTACAGTATAAACCCAGCTTAAATGTTCTGTACATATTGCTGTGTATTGTGTACATTATAAAAGCACCTTGAATGTCATGTAGATATTCATGTGTATTGTGTACATTATAAATAATATTCATTAAAAAAGTTTTTAAAAACCCACGTTTTCTGATTGAACTAAAAAGTAGAAAATAAATTCTATACATCACAATAATGCAAGCGATCACTCTACTATAAGCGATGAAAAACGTGGGGCGCCGAAGTAAAAGTTATATTACTATTGATTAGATAATACTATTGACTTTTATTAGAAAGCTTGTAAAGAGTCGACAGTATTAGAAACTGTAAGAAAATCACGGCGCCCCACGTTTTTGATCGCTTATAGTAGAGTGATCGCTTGCATTATTGTGATGTATAGAATTTATTTTCTACTTTTTAGTTCAATCAGAAAACGTGGGTTTTTTTAAACTTTTTTAATGATTATTATTTTCTACTTTTTAGTCTTTGTCTGTTTGTTTGCATTAAAATCTTGCTATCGATTTTATCTTTTCACTTTTTTTTGGGTAAACGAAGACAACTCGTAAAAAGACAACTCGTAAAAAGACAACTCGTAAAAAACACGTTGTGTGAATACGTTACTGACTAGAACACATAGATTTGAACCCGTGTCGAGTGGGATAGCAATCGTGTGCCCAACCACTCGACCATATCGTCTCCCCCATACTGGCCACCAGTTGTTACGGTTGTTTGTACACAAACACCGCGTGAACACTACTCAGTAAGCAAAGAGGGAGAGTACCGAACCTTGTTTTCATCAAATTACAGTTACTTGGTTATGTCCCTTCTCCCCCACGTTTTTTGTACCATTATATAGCGGTCTAAAATGATCAATAAAATGTTTCCATGGATCAATTTAGTAATAATAACAATTGAATAATCTATTGTCACCCAAAACAAAGCTTTCCTGAAAATTTCAGCGCGCTAGCTAACTGGGAAATGCCAGAAATTTCGATCGCAAGATTTGATTGGAAAGACAAACAAACAGAGACGAAAGCAAGTTAAAGAAAACGTGGGAAAAGACCTTGAATGGCCTGTAGATATTCATGTGTATTGTGTACATTATAAAAGCACCTTGAATGTCCTGTAGATATTCATGTGTATTGTGTACATTATAAAAGCACTTTGAATGTCCTGTAGATATTCATGTGTATTGTGTACATTATAAAAATACCTTGAATGTCCTGTAGATATTCATGTGTATTGTGTACATTATAAAAACACCTTGAATGTCCTGTAGATATTCATGTGTATTGTGTACATTATAAAAACACCTTGAATGTCCCGTAGATATTCATGTGTATTCTGTACATTATAAACGCACCTTGAATGTCATGTAGATATTGCTGGGTATTTTGTACACTATAAACCCACCTTGAATGTCCTGTAGATATTGCTGTGTATTTTGTACATTATAAAAATACCTTGAATATCCTGTAGATATTGCTGTGTATTTTGTACATTATAAAAATACCTTGAATGTCATGTAGATATGGATGTGTATTTTCACAGAGCTAACCAAGATCGATGGCCTACACAACCACCTAGGGGCTTGAGGGCAGTTAAAGGATCCGTTCACATCACTGTCAACAGGTATTCGTGTGTTTGTTACCTGTCTCAATATCCATTCCTGTTTCACAATTAATCTAAAATCAATTTTACAAGTTCATGGATTACAGTTAGTTAGGCAACTAGTTATAAGCTTACAAAAAGCAGTGTTCCCATGTAAAGACAGTAAACAGTATTAATTAACAATATAGCTTTAATCTAATTTAAATCGTAAGCCTCCTATTCTATACAGCATTACCCATTCTTAATTATCGATTTCAGCGGTATGCCTAATCCATAAGAAGTCGGCTTCTAAATATTTTATATTAACAAAACACAGGATCTTACTCAACTTCCCATAAATTAGTCGAATCCATTATTCATATGTTTATGTTATTGACACCGTTGTTAATTTAAAAGTAAATTTTGAACTGCTATAAATCTTTATCTTTATTGAAAGAGCATAAGGGGTCGGCGTGGTCGAGTGGGTAAAGCTCATGGTTGCTAAACCGAAAACTCTTGAGTTCAAACCCTAGGGCAGGAGAGGCAACTCCAAAATTAAACAACTGCTGCATGTAGTTTGTTATTGGTTAGACAAAGGCTATGGAAGCAAATCCAAAAACAAAAAAAACCATGCTGAAATCGGAGTCAATGGTTTCAATGGCGCATGACCAGCTGACAGTTATCCTTAATTGTGTGGGAGGGGTATCCCCTCCAACACTAAAGTTAAGAACGAAGAAGAAGAAAGCATACACAGGTTATTCTGTAAACAATTATGGTTTAACGTTTTAATGCAGGGCATAATCCTGGATATGCACATTGAATAATTAGTGTCCTACCTTCCCCCCACCAGTACATGTTTTATATTAATGTTCAATGACGTCGGTCTCCAGAGACTTTGTTGACTACATCCTACCCAACGACACATTTAGTCCATTACATTTTTTTATATTAATGTGTCTATGTTGATCCCCAGAGATTTTGTTGACTTCATCCTACACAACGACAAATTTTATCCATTACATTTTATATTAATGTGTCTATATTGATCCACAGAGATTTTGTTGACTACATCCTACCCAACGACACATTTTCTCGATTACATTTTTTATTAATGTGTCTATATTGATCCACATAGATTTTGTTGACTTCATCCTACACAACGACAAATTTTATCCATTACATTTTATATTAATGTGTCTATATTGATCCACAGAGACTTTGTTGACTACATCCTACACAACGACACAGCCAAGGATCTACTGGAGTGGGTCAAAGGAACGGGAGTTCCCGATGAAACGTTTTTCGCCACATTAAACCACAACCCACAGCTGGGGATACGCGGCAGCTACAAAGGTTCGTTAAACATGGTTCACACAATTAGAAATAGTCAAACAAAATTGTCTAGTAATATAATAGTAATTCAGCAAACACTTTTAGTTTTAATTTGGATTAGTATAGTCAGGGTGTTGTGGTGATTGGGGATGTTATATTATTTCATATAAATACATTACTACGCTAAACAACATAGTTACTATTGTGCATTTTTATCATGAAAAAATATTGTTGTGACTTTCATTGTTTGACTCTCCCTGGCCATTCCGATTGACTTCAAGGAGAGGTTAAGGACAGTTTTTGAAAATGTTTCAATTGATAAAATAATTCAAAACGGCTTTTTCAGCCGCTTGTATTCGTTACAAATATATTAAAATGTGTTTAATCGATGGTTCCCAAACGGGTTTAATTTTTACACATAAAATTTGTTACAATAAAATTCAAATATTTAGAATGATTGCATTTACTTTGTTAACCGATCGGGCAATGTTTGATGCAAGCTTTTTGCAAATGTCTGTGTTAATTGAAATGTGTAGTTAAGAAATGGGCTAATTTTTTCTAGAAAAATTAGATTTAAATTATGCAAACATTCTGAGGAAAATATGAATCGCAAGAGCTAAACATATCAGTGAAACTCAAGCATGCTATAGCTTTTTAAATTAATTAATTAACATTTTCCAGGTGAGCCTGAAACAGACGACACAATCAAACCGTTTTTATCCAGATATAAAAACTGGTTCGGCATGTACCCTTGCGCTGGTCAGTCGGTCAGGGGCATTTGTATACTCTCCACGGGTAATAAAGGAAATTTGTATATTCTCCACAGGTAGTAGCTTTGTTAAAGGAAATGTGTATATTCTCAACAGGTAATAGCTTTGTTAAAGGAGATTTGTATACTCTCCACAGGTAATAGCTTTGTTAAAGTAAATGCGTATATTCTCAACAGGAAATAGATTTATTAGATGCATAGGTTTGATTAATCTCAACACGTCACCGATTTGTTTAGGGAGTGTTTATACCCTCAAAAGATAATTATTAGAGACGTTTACATGTTCGCAACTGTAAGCGTCATTGTGTACATTGCCAACAGGTATAGCTTTTATACAAGACGTGTTAATTATAATAATAAATTTTGTATAGGCGTCTGCAGTTCAAAATTTCACCTCTTACAAATTATGTAGATTTATAATTTGGTATCTCGCTAGCTCGTTGTGTTTTTGCAAGGTGTTTTATAATATGTTGACATTTATGTTGCATATTTTAGAATTTGTATTTTCCATTGATACATATTTGAATTCCTGGTTATTGATGTTTTGTACACAAAAAAGGAAACAGTTCAAATTATTATCGTACGTGCTATGTTTAATGAATTGCTACGTACCGAAGTGTTATACAACATAGTTTAAATACAATTTCGGGAATGTTGTGTTAAAATAATGCAAGAATGGCGAAAAATCAAAAAAATTTTTTTTTCAGGTGACCTGCCGTTACTATACGAATCAAAACAATTGTTCGCCAACAAATTCTACCTATCGGAAGATTTACTATCTGTTGGTTGTTTAGAGGAAAAGTTGATGAACGACACGAGGGATGAATTTCAGGGTGTGAAGACATTTAACGTGTCTTATTATGAGAGCTTAGATTTTGTGAAAAATAGTGTGACATAAGATACACTGTATAAAACTGTCTCATCTAAATAGAATAAATATAATTGATTCAAAATATTAAAATTATTATGTAATATTTATCAGAATCTTATACAAAACTTTGTTATACATTTTTGTATTGTTTTCTTTCATTCCGCAATTACCAAATACGAGTTTATCGTCATATATATATATATATATATATATATATATATATATATATATATATATATATATATATATATTGCGCATTTATTGCGCATTCTTTTGTTGCGTAGCTTTCCCATTGCGCATTTTTATGTGAACCATCTAAAACATCAATCCAAGGCACCGTGCCGAAATGGAGAAGAAGGACAAGGCAAAGACATCACTGGATGGTGGGGATCAACTCAGAGGCGTAGCGACCCTTCCCGGCGCCCGGGGACAAACTTTCGATTTGCACCCCCCCCCCTCATACTTTCGATTTGCACCCCCCTCTCAAGATTTTGATTTGCATCTCCCCACCTCAAATTTGCACCCCCCTTCAAGCTTTCAAGTTATTTTTCCAACCCATTTTGGCGCCCCCTAAGGTCGGCGCCCGGGGACATATGTCCCCTCCCGCCCCCCCCCCCCCCCGCCTCGCTACGCCTCTGGATCAACTATTACACAGGGTTGCCCGTATTAGATAACTCATAGCTTCACGAGACCGAGAGAAATGGCGGAAAGTTATTAGAAAAGCAATCGTTGTGCCCCAAGACCCCTTAGGTTAGTAGGCGATGTGTTGAGTGTTTATAGTTTGCATAGTCGTCAAAACTATGAACAACAAAATAATATGCAATCCTTATTTATTTAAACTTTTCATTATTAAACATCCTTCCCGTTACTGATTATTTAAATAATTTAAAAAAAAAAATAACAGTTTACTATTGGCTCATAAGCGTTTAAATACCAATTCATGAAAACTGAATGGGTATAAAGTTTAGTAAACATAGCTACATGTTTAACTACAGAGAAATGTTTCTTGAGCTCGGCATATAACGTGGGGTGTGATAAACACTCTGCCTCATTTACTTTCCCCAACATATGCTTCGTACCCGTTAGAGCTGGGTCGACACATGTACATCATACCAAGATTCGAGCTCGAGACCTTCGTGCTAAAACCCAAGCGCTCTAACATTTAACTACACAGCAATGTTATTAGATACACGCTAATTAATGATTCATAGCCCTTCTAAAATTTGAAAATCTATTTTAAGTGTGCACTTATGTTGGTAGATGCAGCATTGAAATGAAAATACAATTCCTAATGCGTGTACTCAAAATGGATGGATTCTTTTTTCAATGATTAACGTGTAATATAATACATTATAACGTTTAAAGTTATACATACTTACACATTATTCATCAAATTATATTAAACAAGTCTTTAACTCTTGAGTCGATGGCGTGGCCAAATGTTAGATCGCTTGGCTTCTAGCACGAAGGCCTCGAGCTCGAATCTTGGTTTGTTGCAGCATGATGTACTTGTGTCAACCAAGCTCTAACGGGTACCTAATATATGTTGGGGAAAGTAAATGAGGCATAGCATTTGTCACACTCCACTTCATGTGCCGAGCTCAAGAATCATATGAACTCTACGTCAAGAGTTGATGACAAGATCTGACTTCGAACGTTAACCCTAATTTGCCGAGATTAATAAGGATATTTTTTTACGTTTTATCTACGCTAAAATATCTATTTATCTATTACTCTTTTTAGACATTATTGTTTTTTACAATCTATAATTTGAATTAGCATAAAATCTCTACAAACTACGGAAAAGTAATAAAAATTTACTATTATAATGTTTGAGACATAAGGTCTACCGCTTCGGTATCAGTGTTCCTTCCTGACTTTTTTCTCTTCAAATTTTCGGGGGGGGGGGAGGGGTGACTAAAATGTCCGGGGGCGGGCGGTAACTGTTACAAGTATATACATTTTTAAATATATTCCGTCTCGTATGGGGGGAAGGAGGGGGGGGGGGCGGGGTGGTAGACTCGGGGAGGGTGAGGCAGGCCACTCAAAGAGATCCCTGGAAGAAACGCTCTTCGGTATACAAATCAACATGTTCAGTCTATTTAGTTCGTTGTTTTATATGTACTAAGGTAATTGTGGCGATGCAGGATATTAATTGTAATGTCTTATGAAGACGCAACTATCATTATCATTATAATCAACAACCTCAGTGCACAAGACAACATGATGAATGGAGGGAATAACGAACCATGTGTGTGGATAACAATGTTAAGTCAATTTAGTAATCTGTTTTCATGGTTTTTACCTTATGATTGCTGCCATTAAAAAAAATAACATATGAAGTTTAATTAAAACAAATTGAAAACGTGCAGGCACTTAAAATCGCGAGCTCTACAAAAGAGGAAGCTAGTGCTAATTGTTCTATAATTTTCCTTCCTCTTTGGTTGATTCGAATTTCATTTTATTTACATACAGAGATAGACTTTTTCTCACATTGTACTTATTTAAATATTATTCGAAAACATTTCTGGCTGTGCTTAGTAATCAAACATCGAATGTTCCTGTGCTGTGTTTTTCAACATGTCGCTAAAGATGTTGGTAAATTTTAGTATAGTTGTTCTGTTTACGACAAGTATTTACCAATCCTACTGTCAACGTGTACCAACTGAAAATGGTAAGTATGAATCAGTTACTGGGAATTTTTGTTAAAATAATCATCAAAAGTTGGAACAATACCAAATTTAAACAAAATGAGACGGTTGAAAGTCAAGAATGTATCAACTGTTTTAACAGTATTATAATTGTTATGTATATATATATATATATATATATATATATATATATATATATATATGTGTGTGTGTGTGTGGTGTGTGTGTGTGTATTTCATTCTTCCTCTCTTTCCTGTAATAATGATTTAAACACATTTTTTTCTAACTAAACAATAATTATTTATTCATATTCAATCAGTTTACTTAAAGATTGATTACAATCAAGCTTTAACTAATAGTATTAAAAACAATACTTTGCAATTTACTTATAAAATCAATTTAAAATTTAACACACACTATTCTCCTGGCTTATTACATAACCTAGTACATGTGCCTCCCTGTTTAACGATCTCATATTTCAGATGATCTGCAGATAGTGACCTTTACAGCTAACGGACAAGGCTACAGAATGTATCTACCAATCTTGCTCAAACCTAGGCAGAACGTCACGTTTGACTGCGTGTTGAGTGCTGCCACGCCCACCACCAGCATCTCCATTTTAAACGACTCCCTGCACGTGCTGACGACGGTGTCTGGGGTCAAACAAGTGACCTTCACCCTGAACACGATGGGGTGTACACACTCTGGACAGTTCTACTGCCTGGCAAAGCAAGGACAGGTCAATGTGACCTCAAGACTTGGAGTCCTAGCGACACCTTGTAAGTCTTACATGTTGGTAAATAGGAGACTTTTAAATCAAATTTACATTAATATAATCGTACGTGGCTTTAACGATTCCGAAATAGTAATTAAATGGACCATATATACTCTGTATATTGACTGAATAATTTTTTTTAAAAGTATTTTCATGAACCTCAACTAAGTCATGTGCTCTATAGTGAAATAGAAATACGAATTTGAGTAGAGTTAGCATCATTTTAGTAATAAAACCACTAAATAAAAACCACTTTAAAATAGTGCTGTCTTGAGTTGTGTACGCTCTTACTAACGCAGTTGTCTCCACAGGTCCACCCAGTGTTTGCTTCATGGAAAAAACAGAAAAAACAAAAACGGTTGCTCTCGGACAAACTGCTGTGTTCTACATGTGTACGATCCTGGACGTAGATCTAATGAGCTCTTTGACGCTGTTTCTCAATGGAGAGCCACTATCTGTGTACCAGACGAAATTCAGCCTGTCTTACAGAAACGTTGAAGGGTACAACGGCTACGTGAATATGACTTTAAGCATTTACAACATCCAACCTACAGATTATAAGAGAAACGTAATTGAGGTCGGAACCACGTATGACAGTATAGATGTTAGAGTCTATGCAAACATTAGAGGCGAAGGTATGATATTTTTAGTAACCATTAATCTCGGCTTGTTTGACATCCAAAGAAAAACAGGCAATTTTCAACACATTGCCAACCTTTTCTGTAATCATTTTTTTTCCACCTTTCCCAATTGATAAAATATATGTATAGCTTTTTTCAATGCTCAGGTTAATTGGTATTAACTAAAACTATGTGGGTTCTATAAATTGCCTTTAAAGTGCAACTAGTTTCGTCAAAGTATGGCATTCTATCTACACAGTCTATTCTGATGTTTCCTTTCTTCTACTTGGATCATTATGTCGTATTTTTCAGTACAGTTTTGCTTGGTGCTTTGTTATTCCCCCTTCCCCCTTTATATATATATATATATATATATATATATATATATATATATATATATATATATATATATATATATATATGTATATATATATATATATATATATATATATATATATATGTATATATATATATATATATATATATATATATATATATATATATATATATATATATATATATATATATATATATATATATATATATATATATATATATAAAGGGGGAAGGGGGAATAACAAAGCACCAAGCATATATATATATATATATATATATATATATATATATATATATATATATATATATATATGTGTATACAGCCTATTGTCGTTTCATGTTAATGATCGCAAGATTTAGCCCTCCTTTAATTAATTTTCTTTGAAATTAGAGTTGGAGATTTCGAAATTGGTATTTTGAAGTTAAGTTGGATCTCTTTAAATCTTTACACTTTGAAGCGATGCCAACGCTGCTCTTGTCTGCTGCAAGCTTGCTTGATGTCTGATTTCTGATATCAGTCCTCATTAAAAAAAATGTTTCATTTTATTATATATTGTTAAAAAATTAACTACGTATTGAAATGCCAACCTGAATTCTTGAATCATCATTAGGGCCTATTTTCAAAAGTTAAGATATTTGAGTGATTCCAAAGTTTCAACAAAGAATCTAATAACA